ATGCATTAAAAGGCAGTATTTCAGCAAGCCGAACTGTTTTTTAATACCATAATACATTTGATGTAACACATACCATTTGAATATGATGTTGTATGGAATACGTTAACAGAACTACTGAAAATACACACATTTACGGCTTTAGCTGTATTTCTACTACACACCAATTCCAACACGAACAATGAAGCGTTTAAAGTTCCCTCAAAGCCTCCACACCAGAAGAACTGCCTTCCAGCTGTTATCAAATGGAGGAACAAGCCTTCAACAGACTTTTTAAGTGACCTACACCACTGGCTGTGTACCTGCTCCTGCAAAGCACCAGCTCAAGCAGCCAGCCCCAAAGAGCTACGGAACAGGGACGGCACCCCTCAGAAGCCCAAGGAGGCATCTGCAAGCAGGAGATGACAACAGCTCCTTTATGGGGCAGTTAGATCTTGGAGCAACTCGGTGACTGTGGCCTCAGCCGCTAATCTGCTTCCTCCGTCGGGAGGGTTTGGGATCACTGACCTGGCCCCGCACCGATACGGCCCTATCACACTGCACAGTGCTGGCGCAGAGACTGCTCCCCATCCCCGCATCCCAAAAACCTCAAGCTGACTTTCCCCAACGTATGCCTCCACGTACAACACTCACCTAAGGCATGAACGCGTTCAGCATCTTGGGACAACCTCCCTGTGATGTAGCTTAACTACGTGAGCTACCCTGAAGAGTTTCTCAAGATCATATTCTTGGCCACATCAGTTGTCCCTCAGAAGTGCAGTGCATATTCAAATCTAACTGAAACTGGTGTAATGCAGGGATATGTTTATTTAGAAGCCACAGAAATACGGGCTCAGTAACCAGTTCTGCCAGTGGCATTCCTCTGAACACTCATCAAGACACCAAGGTTGGTCGCCGAGTGTTCTGTACTCAGTTCACGAATATACTGGGGCACAAGCTTAACCTTAGCCTACTCATATATATCTATTTTATTCACACAGTTTAACTAATAGCTATATTCATGAGCAACATGCTAGATGCTTTTCAGCAGGCAAAGCTTTTTTTGGCTCAGAAAAACTAACATGCTGGATGAGAAGACAGACAAAGTCCACATTAGCTATCAAACCACAAAACTACTTCCACCAGGAAAAACGTGGTCATTGTTTTATTTTTACTGAACTGAATTTTCACGTATTGATGAAAGAGCTGTACAGTGTCCTCTGATGAGGACTCCATAGGGATTGCAGTTAAAGTATACTGCAAAGGCCATTTGTGGGCCATAGCAGGTACCATTGATACCCACAAACCTGAGTTGCGCCTGAAGCTATCAAAGCTGGAAAAAAAATTATAGACAAGTGATTCTTAATAATCTAGTTTTATATTATTAGTAAGTAAGAGCATGCCTGTATTTTCATGTGAAGAACTACAATTACTACAAATAGAAATAGAAAAAATGTAAAAAAATCCAAAAGAGAAAGTACTAAAATTATGTAATTCAGGGAAGATCAATTTATTGGAGGGGTGGGGTGTATACCTGTGGTTATGGGGGCGTAGGATGGGATAAAAGTGTTCTCCCTACCGTCCACAATTACAGGTTAGAAAGTATTCTGCCACTAGCACAGCATAATGGGCAGTATTCTACAAATTCATTTATTATACTAAATGTCTGTAAATATATTTAAGTAATGCTAAAGTTGCATTCGAAGGCTTAAAAGCAACACTTTAGGCACCTGGGATAATTGATGTAATTACAGGAAACATTTTTTTCTTAAGGGAAAGGAATCCAGACATCCACTCAGTACATTCAGTACATACCTTTCATTCTCTTAATTACTGTCAGAATCAAAATTTCCCATAACTATCTCATACAAAACACTAAGAACAGGGATTGTTTTCCTTGGGTTTAAACTCCTCAAAAATCAACAACTACAAATATGCTGATCCATAGAAAAATACCAAGAACTATTTTGGTACAGCATCGCAGACAGTTCCATCAAATTGAAATGTCTGTGGTGCTTTTTCCTTTAAATGAGGAAGATCAGTCTTTCAGAAGCTGTGAGCAGGTCCCCAGTCTCACAACACGAGGAGTGCATTAGCCTCACAGTTGTTCCGAGTACCTTTACAGAATGGGCTTTCCACCAAACGTTGTGGTACTGCAGCCATTGACATCTGATCGCATTTTGGCAGATCTGCTGAGTACTAGGACACTGATAACTTTGCTTGTACCTGTTGCTCCTGATAAGTACAGACGTATCCCTGAAGAACCAAACAGTACATTCCATAAAGGTGTATGAAGTCTCAAAAAATTATACTATTAAAGAACACTTCCCAGAAGATTTTATCTAAAATACAAAAAAGAACTGCTCAAGGCACGTATTAATATTGCAATCACTTTTTAAAATATTCTATTATGAAAATACAAGATGAAATTTATTTTTTGATTCAAAGACCGCAAGTGAATGAGGAACCAGTTCAAAAGTACAGAATACCACTACATACAACATGTTGTTCTAAAATAGGTTAAATGCTTTCCGGATAGTTTCGGATTTGCAACAACTGAATGATTGCAATAAATTGCCAGAACATTAGGCTTTATCTGGAACTTCATACTAATTTAATTGCAGAAATGACAGATCTTTTCTTTTTTAAAAAAGGGTTCTTTCCATATAGTTCTCTTCAGAGAGAGAGAGAGAGAGAAACAAAAACAAACAACTGAAAAAAGCCAGCTTGCCCAGCTAGATAAAAGATGAGCTGGCAGATCTTGACAACCACATACTAATTACACTGTAGTTCTGACTCAACAAAATCCTATAATGACACATTATCGTCTGCAGTTCAGTGAAGTTTAAGAATATTTTGAGTGTAATTTGTGAATATTTACTCTGTTGTCAATTGCATTTCATTTTCAAAGGGCAAATGGTTTACTATGTTCTGGTTCAACAAAGCATTTCAAGTGTAGGCTTTACTGAGCATACACCTATGCATTCATTTCCTTTCAGGAAAGGCATTAGAATGCTCCCTGTTTTGCAGAATCACATCTTTACCAAGTTGAACATAGTCCATCAGAAACATGCACACAAAGGATGGAAAAAGACATAAAATACTAATACAGAAGTTAGATTTAATTTTGTTACTGAAATTAAGTATTGTCTCATTGGACACAGCAAGTATTCTGGGTACCCACACTTTAAAAGAAGAGAAGGAAAAAAAAAAAAAAAAGACAGGCTCCTACACCCCCTGTCAACTGAGATGTCCAAGGAGTTCTTCCTCTCCTCCCTTCAGTGAGCTATTATCTATTTATTGCCTTTTTGGGAAGTATAGAAAACCTTCACCTGCTGTAAACACCTTCACTTTGGGCATATTTGGCTCCCCTCCCCCCTTCTTCTTTTAAAGAGTAGAAGAAAAAATTAATAAGCCAAATATCACAGAAATAAGTTCAACAAATAAAGATGACTCAAAATCTATAACTCAGATTCCAAACACCTATTTCCTTGAACAAATAAGTGGATTTTTTTAAAAATTATTTTCACTGAACATTTAACTGAAAACTATTATAAAAGATGACAAGAAAGAGATTCCAAAGATAAAACTCTAAAGACTTTTATATTACACATTTGAACTCAATGCAAAATCTGGGACATAGTCAGTAAAATACAAGCTTAATTTTGAGTACAAATTTCAGTAGAAAAAATAGAATAATTTTACTATGATTAAGTCTACAGTCTGATGAATCATTGGCTATACTCTGATCTGTTGGAAAGGCCAGGGTTATAAATTCGTCCATTACACTTAAAGACATATATCAGATAATTTGAAAATGTAGTGCAAGAGCCAATTGTAGCATCTCAGAGTTTCTATTCTAGTACTTCAGAATTTCCTTGTCAGTTTGAAGGAAACTGAATAATTTGCAAAAACGTATGTAGATGTTATACTTAAGACTGGGTTGCATTTTTAATTCTAACTGGTTCACCTGCACTTTATTAAACAAATTAAGTCTAATTTCAACATCTAATAACACTTCATTGAACAAGTATTTAACAGAACTCACAACAAATATCAAGGCACACAAGGACTTCATACATTGCTTTCCATTTAAAGGCTCCAAAATGTCAATAATGAGCCTTCATAACTTCCTTCTGAAGAAGGTAACATTACTTTTATTTTATAAACAGAGAATTGGAGTAAGAAATAATAAATCCACCTGGTGAAGTAATGAATGAAACTAAGATTCCAGTTTTCTGTTCAGTCTGCAGCCACTACAATGCTGAAAGTTCTTTCAGTGTTCTGTCTTTTTGCTTTTATTTTTTGGTACAGTTGTAACAAGGTTTCCTTTTATTAAAAGCTTCTGTTAATAAATCTCTGCTAAGCCACAGAGATAACTACAGATACTAGAAACAGACAACAGGGTACATGAATTAACAGAAAAAAGATAGCCAGACTCTACCACAAAATGAATCCTATGGAAAACATCAGCTTCATTAGGTTACTTCAGGTCTTCAGAGCCAGCCCAGGAAGATACTCTATATATACTGAATGCAGTTCTATTCTACTCCCACAGAAAACCCAAACCTCCTTTCCTCTCAGTGCTTTAAAAGCTATTACTTAGTTTTTAGATTTCAATCAAAGAATAATATTAAGCCTGCTCCACCACAGGCTATGGATGGCTGCTACTCCTCTATACCTCCCACACCACCATATCCTGCCTACAGCACCTTCAAGGGAAAACGTCCCAAGTCAAAGCAGTAGGTAAAGGGAGACAGGAGCCAAAAAGCAGTGGTAGCAATATCTGGTGCTTAATTAATAGTCTGAGCATATCCTTTTTTCTTGTCTTTTTCTGCAAGTAAGAGCTAAAACTGATTTGTCTCAGATCGCTGAAGGAAAAAGACTTGCTATTTAATCATCCGTCCAGTTTAAAAAAGAAAAATCGCAAGTACTACACTGCACAGAAGCAAAAACCAAGCAATACATCCAGTTCACTCATTATCTTTAGTTACGAAAATAACCACTGAACTTGAACCACTCACCTTTGGCACACTGTTAAAAGGATCCAGGCAGTGAAAGGCAGGACTCTCCAACGAAGTTATGTACACCACTATCTGAAACAACAAACAACACTTATTTTAGTTTCAGCACTAAACTTAGAAGACCTTCAGCTAGGTAATTTAGTTTTCATACTACCAAGATCTCCTCAGAGATGCTGAAGAGCACGCAGAATGGCTCCAACTTGAGCCACCTGTTCAGCATAAATAGAATCCATCTTCATACTTAACTTTTCTCCATGTGAATACACAGACAATCAAAACCATCTAGGAAAGAAATTAACTATAAACCCAGCCATTACAGTACAGAGATAAACCAGTCAAGAAATGGAATTAAAAATTCAGCCCAGTTTTAGAAAGATTATGTTCTAAAAAGCACCATTATTTACTGTTTCCTTCACTTTTACGTTAGTCAGTTTAACTTGCCCATACTTCCTAAGAAAAGAGAAATGCTGTTGCACGTGGAAACCTGAAGTACATCAGCAAAAGCATAGCCAGCAGTTTTGGGGACATGACTATTTCCACCCAGGACGCAGTCACACGCAGTTGGATTTGGAATCCAGCTGGATTACTATCGTGTCCAATAGCGATACTGACCCAACAAGAGAGCTCTGACAGAGGCGGTGAAACTGGGCATAGGGCTGGAGAACTCCATTAAGGGATATTCTGGCTGGATGTAAAGAAGCCACAAGGGTGGCTAAGCACAGCCACATGCCCCCTGAGAAGAGATGGACCTTTCTCCCGGGAGAGTCTCAAATTCTCCGGGACATGGCCTCAGCCTTAGCCCTGCTGGGAGCTGGACAGCACAAGCCTCCAGCAGTCCCTCCCAGCATCCATTCTTCTGTTAAGTATTCCTAGCCGCAAAAGGAACCTTTCAGAAGGGACTTCAAAGTCTTTAAACATTTGTTTCTGTTTTTTAATGACGCTTCTAACTCCATAGGATGTCTGACAAATTCAGGCAGCGTAAACCCATTAAGATCCAATTCAAAGAGAAGGAAAAAATTCTGAGCGTCTTCCTGCACTGCAGCCCCTAGCTCGTAAGGATGATCTATCACAACTCCTACTCAACCTGAGGCCACTCATGCACAAATGTTTCTGTTCAAAGTCTTCTCTGAACAGATTCCAACCAGTTGCCACTCTACAAAAGCATCCTATGAAGAAATTCAATTAAAAAGAGCAATTCATCCAATGATCCCACACATCATAATGAAGGGGGGGGGGAAGTATATTGACAAAGGTATAATAAATACCTTACACAGATGTTTAAAAGTGAGATTTAGACTTCTACCCGTTAATAAGTGGAGTAACTAAAACCACAGTTTGACAAACATTTAAGCATAAACATATTGTTAGGGGATAAAGGACGAGCGAATCCCTGCCCCTCAGCTCCCCAGCTGCTCACCCCTTGCTCCCCAGCAGCTGCAAGGGAAGCCAGAGCATTGCCAGCCCTCCTGAAAAACACACAAGGAAAAATAAAGAAATAAACAGAGGAAGGCAAATCATGAGGCAGTGTTATTCAACCAGAAGAGCCTCCTGATCCAGTTCATCACCTGAACGAAGATATGCCTATGAAAGCAGAGGACAGACGGGACTGGAAGGTGACCTACCCCTTTCTCTGCCAGGCTGCTGGCTGGAACGCCTGCTGCCCCACCGTCCGACCTGGGTTTTCAGCTTTCTGCAGACACAGACCATGGGCAACCACACTTTGCTCTATCAATTTTCCTGCCCAGTTACAGACCTTAACTGTGTTCTCACTGAAAACTGCTCTGTATTTGAAATTATAGGACAGATATCAAGTAAATGGGAAAGCTACTTTAACAAATGAAGCAACATTAAAACCCAGAAGCAGGGCAGATCTATTTTCCTACTGGGTGAGTATTTTGTAGTACATGTTTTCCTCCTGTCAATAATACAAGAACATTTTTAATAATAAGGGGAAAAAATGAGAAAATAAAAGTCACTTCATTTTTTGTTACAAGATCTTCGGAACAGTACTATCTTTCCCCTTCCTACCTCACAAATCATCTACTGCCCATTACCACCCACCACTGAAGTACTGTACCAAGCTTCTGATTTTGTTTGGGGTTTTTTTTGTTTTGTTTTGTTCCTTAAAGAAAAAACCAACACCTCTCTCAATTACTGCTTCCACCTTCACAAATGCACGTTTGCATATAGAACTTGGGTTTGAAAGTGAGCTGAAAAACAGTACTGTTAATTGTCAGTACCTGAAAAACTAACCTCGTATGTGTTAGTCAACTGGAGACTAAATTGGGCAAAATAAGAGTCCAAATTCCATCTAAACACGAGCCGTGTTTATCTCAATATAATAATGCTAAGTTCCTTCTGTACAGCAAGAATGGTTTTTACTTTCCCAGTTCAATTAACATACATTAAAAGTAGCTCAGAACATTAATGGTGATAGTGCAGAGTCAAAGGAAGAAAACTCACAAGAAAACCTCATTCCTATCAACACTTTGATTGAAATGAATCTCTGTTAATCTAACGCGCTAACGAGTGCAAGATGCAAGACTGGTTTCTGTCCTCTCTGGGCTCAATTCCACTGCATTATGAACTTCTTTTCTATTTTTCTCCCGGTAAAAATCTTCACTTTGCTATGGAAGAGCCAGAGGAAGTTTTTTTGCTAAGAGTCACACTGAGAGTGACTTTCCCAGCAGAGTAACCAATTTCCATCACACCCCACCACGGCCCAAAGCTTTGCTTGCAAAACGTCATGACTTGCAGGGTGACTCAAACTCAGGATGGAAACCTGGACCGCAAATAATTCACTTAATATGTTCCTTGAAACAATCTTTCAGTTACAGAAGTTTAAGATCTTTCTTCTCAAAGGGCAGTAAATGGAAACAGTGGTTAGGGTTTGGGACTATCACTCCCAGGCAAAGCGTTTGCACCGTAGGTGGGTTTTTCTGGTTCTGCTGCTGTGTCCTACCAGCCAGGACTCTAGACAGCTGTATTTGATAGCAAAGCCAGGCTGGGGAATGAATAGTTAAAAACTTTGAGAGTATAAAATGCTCTCCATCAGCCTTCAAAAGTCTTGAGGCACACATGGCAAACACTTAACGTCCATCCAAAAGACAAACTGGCATAACATTAGAAAACTTGGGAAATGAAGTCAACAACTTTTTTGAAAGGCTTTAAGGCAAACAGAGGCACAGAGCTGGACAGTCGTGTCCCATGGTATCACCAGCGCCCATCACTTCAGTACCATCTAGTGTGATGTCCATTTGTCATTATCTCAATCTTAATAACAATACTACTGCAGTAACGTCAGCCCTGCTGCATCCAAAATGCCACGGTTCCTTACCACTCACGACTGCCTTCAGGTCCTATGCTTACCGTGAGCCCAGAGCAAAGGAACAGAAGATGACAAGGAGCAGGAATGGCAGAGTGTAGGAATTGGATGAACATGTGATTACAAACATGCAAGGCAGAAAGACAAATTTGTCTATGTCTGAACAGCAACCTCAGTTGCTCTCATTTGTTTTCTCCATCAAGGCCTTCCGAACACAAGGACTATACACATCCCACAGTGAAAAGCACTTTTGAATAGTCAGAAATAAGTTTGAACTTGATCCTTGCCAACAAGCACCAGAAGATAAATATCAGTAACAATATAATAAGCACTTTATCTTTAACTGTATAATCTTTAAAGATTACAACCTTAAGAATAAATTAGCAGTCTTGTAATGATTACGAGTAACATCCAAAGTTATTAACCACCTTTCCTTTCACTAATAGCTCTAATGTGCCCCATTTTCTTTATCCCCATGGCTAAAATCCAGATTCAGCCTTACAATGACTATTTCAATAACAATTCTCTCAGGCTTTCTTCCCAACACCCAACCACCTCCTATTTAAATTCTGACATGAAATAGCTAAAATAATCTCTTTGATACTTAATATGCTAATACACAAGAATGACCCAACCATAAACCTGTATTGCACAGAGTGGGAATTTCAACTCCAATGGTAAGGCATTCAAGTGACTTCGATAACTATGATAAAATTCAACAATTGACATATTACTGGTGACCTTCTGGATAACAAGTGAAAAGCATCACATTAATACAAATTCTCCTCTGGAGAAGATCATGCTGGCAATCTGCCAGTTCATTACACCATCTAGCTCCACTCCCAACATTAAATATTGCCTTCCTTTGTAATTGCCTGAAATACACTGGAGCAATTGCAGGTAACCACTTTGGGCTATTAAAGTATTCCATTAAGACTTCTCCATTAGGCAGATATTTCAAATGAAGTTACATCAAAATAGGCTATGTTCAAAATATTTTAACTATGCAGACAATTGGGCAAGCACAATCCAGTTCCACGGAGCAGCAGACAGATCAGCCTAAGCACTCAAAAGCTCAGTGCCTGAATTTGCTTAAAGGAAAAAGAAATCCACCAAGTTTATTCAAGACTCTAGTACATGCTTAGTATTTTAACCTCCTAGTCATATATATCCTCATCGAACTCACTTAATATTACCTTCTCCTAAAGCTAAGAAAATGGTAATGTTAAAATACACAACTATTCTTTAACTTGGGTAAGTCAAGGCATCCATTGAATACTACATTTTAAAAACTAATGAAACATTGGCAGGAAACACAAAGAACTGGATTCGCATTGTACTTAAGGTTTCAAAAAGGCAGCAAACTGCAATGTTGCATTACAATGGGTATAACAATCTGAAAACAAGAAAATTAAAATCCTTTCATGCTATATACTCTACACATCTACGCTTTTCTTCTCTTAAGATTGCAGTTCCTTAACTGCAAGGAAGCAAGTGAAATGGGGCACAAGAACAGGTTCACTGCCTTGCATGCAGAAAAGACTGCCAGATTCTTAAAACGCTGGAAAAGATTTAAGCCTGTATGCCAGCTGTGAAAATGAGCCTAGCTCCTGAAGCAAAGACAAACTTCTGTGTTTAAATGGGCTTTTTTTAAGCGGTCCAGGTCTGGAGCCATCACCAGAGGCTGTAAGAGTTAGCCTACAAAATTCAGTTCTCTTCTGAACAGTGCACGGGCAGGAGGTTGTGTAT